TTAACACGTAATAGTTATTCTGATATTGATGGTTTAGATTTATTTTTTGAAGTAAAAGTGTTAAAGATAAACAATACAAGTAGAAGATAATGATGTAATGAAAATACTCAATCAAATAAAAGATTTGATTCTTTTCCAAATACACATATTGTGTTAACAGCCTGTAACCATTGCCTCAACCAAATTTTTCTTTGTTCGAAATTAAAATTGATTAAATCTTCTTTAAGATCAACAATGTCTCAAGATAGATTGAATGAATTAGCTATATTATCATTTGAAAAGGAATTATTAAAAAAAATTAATTATAAAACAGTACTTAGTGACTTTGCATCTGAAATAGCTAGAAAAGTATATTTTAAATAAAAGTACATATGATGAAAAAAAATTAGGGCCCCTCTCTTAAGTTTCGCTTAAGGCCTCAATGTTGTTGAGTCGGCCCTGATTATACACCATTTCGTATATAACTTTTTTTGGTGATATAAAAAATATATGATTGTGTATTTCAAATTTGGTTGTTATAACTGTTGTTTAGTAGGTTCTTTAAAAAAATTGAAATGTATTGCATGAAGGTATGTGGATTTCAAGATTGGAGGAGTGATATGTGCCGCAAATACCAATTGATTTTTTTTAAGAGATCTAAAGTAAATTGTAGAAAATGTGTTATAGCCTATTGAGGACCACAACAAGAGAACTTGTACCGAATATTTATATGAGGATTAACATTGTTGAGTTAAGAATCTAATTGAATGATATTAGCGGATTTGAATTTTATTCTTTGTCTATTAAACATTCTTTTCAGAATCATATTTAATCATATGATGTATAGTTCTATTATTTATGTTGGTTTCCCTTGTGGTATAAAATGTCATTTGAAAAAATAAAATGACACGAAATATCGATTAAATTGGTATATTATATGGGGTATAATTCAATAATTGTTGGTATATTATATGGTACAATGTTAGTATTATTATATGGTACAATTTTTATATTAGAAATTTTCGATGTTATTCATAAATGGTGTCATATAGTTCTAGTACAATTTCAAGTTCTTAGGTTTGTACTAGTGTTAATTTTAAAAGATAATATTATCAAAATAATATTTTTCGTTTTGTTATAAATTGGCAATTTGAGAAAAAAATAATGACAAAAAATATCAAAAAGTTCAATTTATTAAATAGTGCAGATGTAGCTATAATATTTGTATTTCACATAATACAATATTGATATAATTTTGGTATTTTAGATGATACAATGCTAATATAATTTTGATATTTTAGATGATTATTTATTGGTATAACTTGGTGTTTTAGATGATACAATATTGATAAACTATATGGTTCATATATTTCTTTTACACAATTTTGATATATTATATGGTATATATTGAGGTGTAATATAATATTAACATATTATATACAACTTAACATCAAAGTTGTATGGAAATCTATATAATATGCAAGTTTCTAATTACTTTATGAAACTTTCTAGATTTAAATGGTTATTTAAGTAATGCCATAAAAAAATAAAATATTTTGTCAAAAGAACAAAAAAGATAAGGTAGAGAAATTTCAGAATTTTAGAAAAAAAATTGTCACAATACAAGAAAAAGATATTTGTATAAAAATAATTCTAAAGAGGTGAGAGAAGATTACAATTAATAAAGAGTATAATTATGGTTGGAAAGTCAAAAAGTAAACAATAATTATCAATTCCATAAATTTAGCACATAACCCCCCAAAATAGGAAATAAATCGGATACTAAAATAAACAAAAAAAAATTGAAATTCAATATATGAGTAAAAAAACAATATAAAACAGTATAATTATGGTTGGAAAAGCCAAAAAGTAAACAATAATTATCAATACCATAAATTTAGCACATAATCCCCAAATATAGGAAATTAATCGTATACGAAAATATACAAAAAAAAAAAAAAAAAAAAAACATAAATTCAAGATATGAAAAAATATATATAAAAAGTAAAATTATGATTGGAAAATCAAAAAGTAAACAATAATTATCAATCCCATAAATTTAGCACATAACCCCCCAAAAAAGGAAATAAATCGAATATTAAAATATCTTTTTTTTAAATCGAAATTAAATATTCTGTCATATTTGTAATTTAAAACTTAGTTTTGTAAATAAAAAAGAGTATATACATATATTGTTAATTAAGATCTTAAATAGTATATTCTTGTAATTTTCACATAAAAATACATAGTACGATTGAATATTTTTAGTGTGACAATTTAGTAGATTGAGAATGGGCCCGATTTAGGTGGAGAATTTACTTAGATGGAGGATGGGCCCAAATTAAATTGTCTTTGGTTTGGACCATCGACCCAAATAGCTGTCAATTGATTTAGGACAAAAAGTGATCATTACTATTGGCAACTAGAGGATGGACTTATTTATGGGTCAACTTCATACCATTCAAATTTGGGAGAATGATCTGTATATATCTAATAATAAGACAAAAACATATCAGGAATTCTTTTACAAAATATATGTGAAATTCTCACTTTAAATTTTTCTGTATGAAATGTGTGTACAGTAAAATCTGTGTGAATCAATATAGGTGGGACCATGAAATTTTATTATTTTATAGAGATATTATTTAATTGATACGGTTTGAGATTTAACGAAGGTTAATTTTGATTATATCAAAATCATTGTATCTTACTAATTTATGTATCATATTTATTGATTTCACATAAAAAAAAATATTATACATAAAGTACAACGAATACATCAAAATCATTATATCTTACTAATTTCAACCTTGTGATGTTGGGATAATAAGAGCTTTCAAGATGTATTATCGTAACAGACTTTATTGTAGGATATTAGAAGGCTATGAAGTGGGACAAATTGATCCAATAAAGATTAATGTTTTGGATGCTATCAGTTTTGTAATCCCTGCTTGGACAACAAATGTTTAGCAAGAGACAATAGCAAATTGTTTTCGACACTGTAAAATTCGGTCGGGGGATGCAATCTCAGAGAATTTGAATGAACCCACTTGTGAAAACGTCATTCATGAACTCGAGGTCATGATTAATGATCTCAATTACCACAAAAAAATGGATGTCTATAACCTATTGGATTATCCGGGTGAAAGTGATACATGTTCAGAGGTCTAGAGCTTAGAAAAAATTGTGGATACCATCGAAAAAAACAATGTTGATGATGAAGTTGAAGATGATACTATACCTTTGGAACCAGTTACGGATAAGGAAGCACTTATCGCATCTAGAACTCCTCACAATTTCATGGTGCAGTTCAAAAAGATAACATCGGAGCTCTTGAATGCAATAAGAAAAGTTAGAGATAAGTTTCAACTAGAATTAAATTTTAAGAAAAAACAGAACACAATAGAATCATAATTCACTAAATTGTCTAAGATATATTTATACTTTTAAAGAATTATTAATTTATGATATTAACGGGACCATATATTTATATAGGGATCTTCTGAAAATATATTATCTTATTATTTTATCGAAATTGGTGATTTTTTCCATTGGCCCAAATTGGGACCGGAAGAAATTATTATTTTAGAGAGATTATTAATTTACCGAGAATTAATTTATAGAGGTTTTACTGTATATGCCCAATTCTTAGAATTTTTGTTCATAATTTTGTATATAAAATCAATATATATATATGGTGTTGAAATGTGTATAAACTGTATAAATTTTGTAAAAAATGCATGTTAGGTTTCTATAAATTTAATATAACTATAATAATATTATATACTACTTTCATACAATATTCATACGAATTCGATACAACTACAACAACAAACAGAACTTCAAATATAAGTTTTATACAACTAAGCATACAATTATCAGACAACTACAATTTTAATACATTTCGGTTGTAACTTCAAACTTCAACGAATTAGGATTAAAATTCAATCCATAAGTAGCTCAAATTTTATCCAAATTCCCAAATTTCATATTCAAACATCCATCAACGTTCTAGATCTTGAGATATCATCCACTTGAAATGAAGTATAATTGCTGTAAATCAATTTTTAAAACTTTAGCTTCGAGCTCCTTTGATAGCTGACAATTGAATTTTGGAATAAATGATTTTCTTTAGCTTAAAAATGAAAGGATTTTATTTATCTGAAAGGATCATTCATACAAAAAGGAATTGATCTATATGTCACAGTTCCAGTAGCATCTCTATCGAGTGCATTACTTACAGAAGAAAGAGATGCATAAAAATCATAAGGTTGGTTTCCATTCATATTTGAATTCTTTGATTTCCTTCCGTGGACTTCTATTTGTACTTTTATTTTTGAAAAGTTTATTATTTCTGTTTTTTCAAATATTCCAAAGAATGAAAGGGGTTAGAAAAGATGATAGTTGTTGATTGGAGTGATGAGGGTTGTAGATAGAACAATATAATTGATGGATGTTATTGTGAAAGTCTTGATTATTTATTGTTATTCTAGATGTAGATGGCATCTGGACAATCCACAAAAATATAAATAATATTTTCTTCTATATTGATGCATGTGGAGCAAGTGTTATATTTCTATAGAATAAGGCAGATGAAGTAGGCAGTTTCTTTAATAGAGGCAACCACTTGAAATTTTTTATTTTGTTTAATGCTTCTAGTTTTCAAATCCACTTATAGTTGGTATTGTTGCAAGCATTATCAATATGACATCAGAAACTCATTTCATGCCAACCGGCAGAGTTTGAGACCATCAATATGAACAAAAACTGCAGGCCTGTGTAATCTGTCAAGTCGGTCTGAATATTTTCTAGTTTTGAAACCATCCACTCAAATTTAAGAAACCAGCAAAGCTAACGGCCCGCATTTCTTTTATGGTTAATGATCGGCAAAAACTAGTACAACATACAAATTCAAAAGGCATCACATGATAAATACATTGAAAACAAGGCTCAACCGCTCCAATAAAACTTTATTCTAAGACACCACCGTTAGTTGCTGAATCTTCACCCCGAAGGAGCAATTAACCCTGGAGGCCAATAATACCTGACAAGAGTGACAATACCACATGTTACAACTACAAACATAATTAAGAACAAAACCAGGCTTGCCTATATGATTCTCAAAAAGCAGATGATTCAAACTTGTCATTTTAAAGCACACTACTGGCAAATGGCAAACTTAGATTTGAAAGCAAAAGAATCTTGCATGTTTCTATTTTACTCTAAACAAATAGCCCAGAAGAATTCATTTGAAAGAGAAATCACAGAGATTGAACTAACCCATCAGCAATTGATCAATGTAACTACGACACATAATTAAATGACTAAATGAGACACATAATCAACAAATCTAGTCCCAGACGCAAGAAAATTAGTACTTACCACAAGCAATCCTTCCGCCAGCATTTCCAGTGCTTTTACTGAGCTCATGTCCTCCTAAAACAGCAGGAAAACAAATTTTATGTCAGATTAAGTGAAAGTGGGTTACAAATATGGTTAAAGTAAATTATATTCTAACTGTCTTTTATTCCATGAAAGGATTTTCAATGCTCCTACACCAGACACCAAGTTCCTTTAGATGCAAATAGAATACTAAACCCCGTAGCTAAATAGAGCACAACTCTTTTGTGCATAATCTTAATCTCATATATCATTGTACGCCCACTTGATTTACTTGCAACTATAGTCCACTTCCCTACTTTCAATTTTCTGAAACAAGTTGAAGTTTGGTCATCCTCCTTGAACTTTGCATTTGAGACCTCACAATTTGCAAAATAAGGAACATACTTCTTGCAGTTCAACCATTCCAAGCACACACACTATAGGATATAACCTATAGGTCTTAGTTTTAAGCTAAAAACTAAGAGCTTGTTAGTACTTCTTTAATTTACCCAAACACTTCAAAAGTGCTTAAAAGTTATTTTGGCTTAAAAGCACTTAAAATAAATCAATCCAAACAGGCTCTTATCCAGCCTCAATCCCCAAGGATTTAGAAGTAATTTTAGATGGATAAAGCAAAGGGCTCACAATGACTTAACTCTAAGCAAAAATAGAACTCAATAGCTTATCGTTATTATACATTCTTCTTATTAGTTTTCAGTCCACCTTTCTTACAATCAATCAATTACAAGTCTCAGTTTCAGGCTAAAATCAATTTACATCCAACATCTGCAAATGTTAGTCCATCCCCACCCCCCCACCCCTCTTACAGAAACATTAAAAAAAGATATTTTTTTTCTATTAGATTGCATTTAAGTGACTAGACTTTTGACAAATACAGACGAGGGAAGTGAGAGGAGAAGCATAATTAAATGGTAACAGGCAACCAAGCATCATGGAATGAAAGAATTTCTAGAACAATTTGTCCAAAAAAATACTTAACTGTTTGTCAGCTAGTATTTTACAAACTGACCCACGTTAGCTCCAAGTGTCCAACACCCACATCTCACAGACAGGCCATACACTGTCCTATTCCAGATTTGAATTCAAAATCGGAACCTGTATAACATGAACCAGTTCTTGCCCCTAGAGCTTTGTTTAGTGGAAAGCGCGCAACACATGAGGTGTAGATTAGCTGCACATTATAGGTTCGAACTATACACAAACAAAATCCTAATATTTAAGTGGAGAATGGTAGAGAGGCGGGCCATTATCCACCAATTGCACCACCGGCCCGCAGGAATTGCATGGCCATTAAAAAAAATATATAGCACCTATTCATTCCTTGAGAGCATGTTTATGAAAGATCACATCCTAATTCCTCAAGGAGATTTAACATCACTCAGGAATGCACACACCTCTTCCCACTTGATTTTTTGAGTCAGCAATTACCAGGCATTATTTTTCAGCTCAATATACAGAGAATGGTAAATCCTTTGAAGAAGAAAAATGAGATCTTATGGGTGCTGGGGAGATGTGAAAATGATAAAAGTGGATCCTTGCTAGGGGTGGTCATGGTTAAGATTGAACCCCTTTCTCTTTCACTTTGACTACTCTTCTTTAAATGAACCCAGTGGATCCTTGCTAGTGTGGTCATGGTTAAGATTGAACCCCTTTCTCTTTCACTTTGACTACTCTTCTTTAAATGAACCCAGTGGATCCTTGCTAGTGTGGTCATGGTTAAGATTGAACCCCTTTCTCTTTCACTTTGACTACTCTTCTTTAAATGAACCCAGTGGATCCTTGCTAGTGTGGTCATGGTTAAGATTGAACCCCTTTCTCTTTCACTTTGACTACTCTTCTTTAAATGAACCCAGTGGATCCTTGCTAGTGTGGTCATGGTTAAGATTGAACCCCTTTCTCTTTCACTTTGACTACTCTTCTTTAAATGAACCCAGTGGATCCTTGCTAGTGTGGTCATGGTTAAGATTGAACCCCTTTCTCTTTCCCTTTGCCTAGTCTTATTTAAATGAACCTAGTTGCTAGTGTGGTCATGGTTAAGAACCCCTTTCTCTTTCTCTTTCTCTTTCACTTTGCCTAGTCTTATTTAAATGAGCCTTCATCATTTTCTTCAAAATTAAATTAGAACATATGACACAATCACATCTAGACTTCTTCCTTCTCCAATCCATAATATTTTCCATTATTATACACCAACCTTCCAAATATACTTCTTACAGAAAACACATGAAATAGAAATGGGGTTTTTATATGTCAAGCACTATGGACAAAATGGAGTGTTGATGGCCTGAAACTAAAATAAAAGGTTGAGTGTCAAGGTTATATGTATTTTATTTCTTACTTTCTTATCCTCTTTCATCTTTCACATTCTGTTGTATTAATAAAAGCATGCCGTACTCAGCTCATTAAAGTTTAGTCACTGAAGTAGGGGAACTAACCCTTTCCAAGATCATCAGGATCAGCATGAACAACAACAGCTCTTCCAATGATGGATTGTGAACCAGTGAGAGGAATCTGCAAAATATCAGGTTGCCAATTAGTTCAGGAACAAATATATAGCAAGACTAAAGCTTAGAGTTCAACAAAGAATTTACCTGCTGGTCGGTAATAGTAAAAGATGCAGTACCTGAAATTTTTTCCAATGATTACACTGTTAGTGATGCTAACTAATTTGGAATTACGCGAGGAGAGAGAGGGAGAGACCAGGCAATGACCTCTTTGAAATAAATTTTGGCTTCACTATGCAAAATAATTGTTGTTTTCGAGGCAATAAAATTATGGGTAAACCTTTACTGCAGCAGAATTAATTTTTCCAAAGGTAGTGGATTACCACTATACATCATGTCAAACCAAAACACACTAGGCATAGAAGATGATAAAAATCTTCAGATTGCAGACATACGATTTGAAAATAAATAAGGATAACTACAACCAGATTAAGTTAAATTATTAAACAAGGAACCCTTACCATCTTCTCCAACTGTGATGTTACCAAGATCACCAGCATGACGCACCTCATCTTCAGGAGCACCATGCTCCTTACCAGCAGGATTGTAATGTGGTCCTGCAAGTTAACAAAGAAAAAATTCAAAACATCTAAAAATCATTTCTATGTTGCAGTCCCAAGTAGATAAAAATGAAATTACCTGTTGACATGCAGCCATTTGTGGTATCACCAAGGGCATGGACATGGAAGCCATGAAGTCCAGGTTTTAGGCCAGAAATATTTCCATTAACTGTGGTTGGAGCTGTATGCATTACATCAGTTAGAGGTCACCCATGATAAATGCATGAAAAAAACATTTTACAATTATTAAAGTAAATTACCATCTCCATCTTGAGTGAAGAGGATGGTGCCACTAACACCTTCACTGCTGTTAAGGACGGCGACGGCCTTCACCATTTTTGTATGTGATCTAGAAAATTATGATACAAGAGTCTGTTATCAAGGCTACACATTTAAGAGCCCATACGAAGCCGTTAATAAGTTAATATGCGGCTCATCTCATAAGATGATAGACAACATTTCCATATACAAGTTTGAATTTATAGAAAATCACATTTGGCCAATCAGTTAGAAACATAAAGCAAGGAAGTATTTCAGTCACAGCCCAGACAATATATAGTTCATCTCAAAAACAAGTCGATCACATAAATTGACATCCAAAACCTTAGGCATTCCATTTCTTCATCTCAACCATATAAGAATATCTATAAGAGGGGATACAAAAACACTTGGTCATGTTTGTTCTGAAATAACAGAAAAACGATCCTTTAGTTTTCCAAACATGCCCAAACTGTGTTGTTTTTTGGAAATAAAACAAACCAAAGAAAGCACAAATTTCGTCTTAAAACACTATACAATGTTATCTTCAACCTGAACATTCACAAAATCTTCATATTCTCGCCCAAGCACCATCAAAGAAAGACAGTAAACATCTACTTGCAGCAGGATTTGCTCACACACACAATTTGCAGGTGATACGTTTTAGTGTTATACAATCCTTACAATTAGAAATGCCTATGCATCAGTCCTAATCGAAAAGGCAAATACTTGTAAAATCAGACAAAAGCAAACTCTAATTAGATCGAACCACACATCCATAGACCATAGGCGGATACAGAGTAACGGCGCAAACCATAAATATTTATGATTAAAAATCCATAAACCCATAACTTTTAAAAGACAGTGAGTTCTGCTAAGATCCTTAAAGATTTAACCCATAAATATTCAATCAATCTTAGATCCGCCTCTTAGCAAGGTCTGAAGATGATATCCTAATCTTCTCTTTCTATATGTTCCTAATAAAATTAATATCTACTCAACAATCAGCTTCCACCAGAATCAACATAAAAATAAACGCAGACAGCGACAGATTCAAAAGTGAAAGTTGTAAAGAAGTCTAGATCTGCAAAATCAGAAGTTGAATCCAACAACGAAGAGTTTCAAGACCAAATCCAACGGCGTGAAAATCCAGAGAAAACGAATAATCAAAAGTCACCATAATAGAACATCGAAATCAGATGCAAGGAATAAATTGAATTACCTCAGGTCACCCTTGAGTGGCTTAGAGAGAGAGAGAGAAGTCCAATATGCGTACTGATGATAATGAGAAGTTCGATAATTGTAAGAGTGAAATGAGTGCTTGCTTTTTATTGGACTGAGCAGTGACCTGTTTGAGGGGGTGGGTAGGTTGCCGGCTGGCTAGTGTGTGATTAGCGCCGTATTCCTTTTGCCAACTAACCTCTACGTGCCCTAGGTCTACATTCATATCACGTGTTACGACTTTAGAATTATCTAGAAGCTAACATCATTTCCAACCCAAATCTCGATGGCTTGACCTAGTTTATCTAAGATTATGGTCCAACTCAAATCTCGATTAGGCCTGACCTAGTTCAATCTAGATCATTCACTGAATGGCTATTTTAATCCTCCAATCCCCAAAAAGAGTTTTTACCTTTTACATTTTTATTTTAGCTTTTGATTCTACCTCTACTAAAAAACATGCTATCTTTGACTATTTTTATTTTTGGAGTAATATTGATGCTATTAAGTTTGGTGAAATTTTTTGGGCGAAATTGTCTAATACACCCTTATACTTGTATCAGTTTGTATTCTAAATTCTTCTATTTACCCCTTTATCATCTGGACCCTTATACTCAATTAAAATGAGATTTTTAAGCCCCTCAAATCATGTGTGTAGCTCACTCTCCTTTATATAAATGACATGTCATATCCATGTTATATATATTAATGCCAAGTCATAATTTTCTTCATAACTATTTTTAATTATTAATAAAAATGTTAAATAAAAGACTAAATCAATAAATTTTCTATTTTACCAAATAAAATAAAATTATTGTTTCTCTCACCTTCCCTCCACCTCCCCTAACCAAAAACTCAAAACCATCTCCACATCCCCTATTTTTTCTTCTTCATTTTTTTCCACAGAAAAAGGAGGCATCACTTAATTTAATGAAATTAAACAAAAATCTAACAACTTTTATGAAAATAGATTGGGAGCATTTTTGGGTTCTTCGTAGAAGAAAAAAAGAAAAAGAAAAGGACGCCGCCATCGCTGTCGTTGCCATTTTTGTCGGCGAAATCACATATACTTTCTTTCTCACCATCTTCATTTCCGTCGCACACCATCACTATTTTTTTTCCTCCTCCAACCTCCACAAAAACAACAACCTAAACCATCACACCACCATATCTGGCCCGCTTGTCTCTCTCACGCCACTGCGATTCAATGGTCTCCGGCGAGCGCTGGTCTCCGGTGAATCAGTTGCTGGTCTATGGCGAGCGCTGGTCTCCAATGTTAGTAAATTGTAGAGAAGAAAAAAAAAAGTTTCCAGGCGTGGCCAAAAAGAAAGGGGTAGTGTGGAAGAAGAAAAGACTTTTTAATTAATTATTTTTTAAAAAAAATATTTCTTTTTTAGTTTTAATATTTTTTTTAACCTAAAAAAGTTATTCACTCGCCTTAAGGTGCGTGAAGTCACACAATTTTGCCAACTCAGCCATCTTAAAGACACATAAGCTTAGTCAATGGTCAGAGGGACTTGCTAAATTATGTTTTATTGAGTTTAAGGGTCCAGATAACAAAAGAGTAAGTAGAAGGATTCAAAATACAAACTGATACAAGTATAAGGGTCCATCAGACCATTTCGCCAATTTTTTGGGAGCAAGTTTCAAAATTCAATACTCTATATGTCCCAATTTATGTGACACTTTTTGTTTTTTGAGAGTCAACCGGCAATTTGCATATGGAATCTTCAAATTTTTTGAAATGAAATTTATATATTTGTGAACTACGTAAAAAGTACTATAAGTCACAATAATTGATAATTCAAAATGTTTAAAAGATCTATGAAAAACTTACGATAAATAATAGACTTGTTTGAATCTCAAAATGTGAAAAGTGTCACATAAAACAGGACGGATGGAGTATTTATTTTTGAGTTTTTGATTATAGTTGTTTGTTTCTAGTATAACTTGCCTAAATCTCATAGTGTAAAGAGTAAATTACATCTTATCCCAACTCTTTTTCTAATTACAATAACCTCTTAAAATTTGACCTTCCGGATACATTAATTCACCATGCAGATACATTAATTCTAATACAAAAGGAATCTTTATGTTGCTCTAAAAAAGGAATAAAATCTAAAAATTAATTAAATCTCATAAATTACTCTTACATTTCTTCTTACTCTCAATCATACAGAGGCAAATCCTATTAGAATGAAGAAATTCAAAATTTCAAATTGCTCCCCCATCAACGAAGAAACCTTTCAGATTTGATAAAAAAAATTGTCGAAATTTTGGATAAGCGAGGTGAGTTATGAAGAATACAAAGTGATGGAATTATTGTTGGACAAAGGATTTCCTTTTGAATCTTCAAGTTCATCGAAGATCCTTTCAATTTTGATTCAAGATTGTCAAAAAAATTGAGATTCAAGATTGTCAAAAAATTTGAGATTCAAGATTCTTTATTCTCGCAGTTCATCGAAGATCCTTTCAATTTTGATTCAAAATTGTTGAAAATTTTGAGATTCAAAATTCTTCTCCTAGTTTATTAAAGATCCTTTCAATTTTGAGAAGATACATCATGAATATTTTTGCTACTTAGCATTTTACTATTTATGTATCTTGTTTAAATTGATAAATATTGTATTTATACTAGATACATTAAATAAATAATTGTTCCTCGTAAGATGTTAGATTTGAGATCGATACATTACTGTGTGGGAATTGTTATGTAATTGATACATTTAGAATAAAATCGAATTTACATATCATATCTAAAAAATTAGTGCATGATACATTACTATTTATGTATCTCGTTTAAATTGATAAGTATTGTATTTATACTAGGTACATTAAATAAGTAATTGTAGCCCATAAGATGTTAGATTAGGAGATCGATACATTAACGTGTGGTTGTTGCTATGTAATTGATACATTTAGTATAAAATCAAATTTATGTATCATATCTAAAAAATTAGTACATGATACATTACTATTTATGTATCTCGTTTAAATTGATAAGTATTGTATTGTTACAGGATACATTAAACATGAATTGTTGCCCACGAGTTATTTGGTTGGAGATCGATACATTTAGTATAAATTAGTATTTATATATCATTCCCGTATAATTTGACGTAGCTATATATCATATACAAAAAAAAAATATGAATATGATGATAAACAATGATTTAGTAAAAAAATAGTATGACACATATCTATTTATATAAGTGACACTTTTTATGATTCGTTTTGTCCTAATTTTCTCCATATTTGTTTTGTCATGTCCATGTATGGGTGGTTTATTTTGTGTATAAAAAACTACCCCAATATTCACATGATTTTCCAACATTATGATACATTACAATTTTATCATGCATAATGTATTGTGTTAAATATTAGTTTTGATACATAACCCTAATTAATATTGATACTTGATACAAAAATTCTACCAAATGTATTATTTATCATGTATCAGCCTTTTCATTTACAAATTTCTGATACATATCGATTATGCTCTCAAACAAAATAAGTTACATAAATAATAATCTATAATGCACTATTTTTTTAGGCATGATACGTAAATTCGAATTTATACTAAAGGTATCTGATACATAACAATTACCAAATAGTAATGTATCGATCTCAAATGTAATATCTTATGGGCAACAATTTCTTATTTAATTGTATCTAAAATAAATACAACACTTATCAATTTAAACAAGATACATAAATAGTAATATATTGATAAATCTAGCCTCTCAGAAACGAAATTCAAAAAACGGTTACACGACATTATAAAAGGTATGAATGATCCATCAAAGTTATGCATCTCTTCAGCCTTTTTGTTTGTTGTATCAATGCATAACGGATACATTGAAAATCCAGACTCTTGTTTCTTCACCTCAACGATGTATCAGATCTCCAATTTTTTCCTCAACTCATTGATCTTTAATTCAGTTGCAATGATTGATTTGAGATTCACAAACCAATATTTTGACCAAAAACAATTTCATCACTTTTGTATCGTTCATACCTCACCTCACTTTCTCCAATTCTGGAATGTCTCAACAAGATCGACATGTTCATGTTGTATCAGTACAATTTGTTGAAATGTTTGATTCAAAAACTGAGAATTTTTTGGAAGAATGAAAAGAAGAATTTTGGGATCTAAGAACATATACGTCATAATTAATGTATCAATTTGTAATCGGTAATGTATCACGACTTATATATCAATATACAAATTCAAAAATTAAAAAACAGAGGATATACATAGCAAATCCAAACAACTTGAAATGTTTGATTCAAAAACTGAGAATTTTTTGGAAGAATGAAAAGAAGAATTTTGGGATCTAAAAACATATACGTCATAATTAATGTATCAATTTGTAATCGGTAATGTATCACGACTTATATATCAATATACAAATTCAAAAATTAAAAAACAGAGGATATACATAGCAAATCCAAACAACTTGAATCAAAATTGAAGGGATCTTCGATGAACTTGAAGATTCAAAAGGAAATCGTTTGTCTAACAACAATTCCATCACCTTTGTATCCTTCATAACTCACATCGCTAACCCAAAATTTTGACAAAAGTTTTTGAATCAAATTAGAAAGGTTTCTTTACTGAACAGGGGAAGCAATTTGAAATTTTGAATTTCTTCATTCTGGATTTCCTATCGTATGATTGAGAGTAAGAAGAAACGTAAGCGTAATGTATGGGATTTAATTAGATTTTCAGATTTTATTCTTTTTTTAGCACAACAGAAAGATTTTTCTTGTATTAGAATTAATGTATCCGAATGATGACTTATGTATCAAGAAGGTACAATTTTTAAGGAATTATTGTAATTAGAAAAAAGTAGGGATATGATGTAATTTACTTTTTACACTAGAATGAATATTCACATCAGGAGTAGTAATATGCATTGTACTTTTTTTTTCTTTTTCTTACAAGGTCTTATCACTGAGTTTTTCTTGTATGATTTTTAATGAGCAGCTAAAATGCGTATTATTGTTAAATATATGTAGTCTTTTCTCTTCACTAAATTTTCTTTCATTGAACTTTTTTTAAAAGTAAATAAATACTTAATATATTATCCTGATGTCTATTTTGTTTATTTAGAGAAAAGTTTGAATTAAGTAAATTTGGATCCAAACTAGTTTTCACCTATTACTATGTACCTTATTCTTGGATGGGAGTATCTTTGTTGCGTCCATCTCCAATCTCAACAGTCATGCTAACGCTTTGTAGGGTTTGTTTTAACAATTGCTATAAGACTGAAAAAAGATTGCCTCGTATACTTTAATACTCTCACTTCACAACCACACTTGGACCTACATGACCAATTTTGTACAACCCTTTCTTTCCTTTTCAACATATATCATCACTACTCACATGGAAATTACCCTCTTGAGTTCTTTTTCTTTTAACCGGACAAGCAAAACGGAGCAGGCAAACATAGATACTACAAAGCATGTCTTTAAATATGACCAGTCTTACAGAAAATGAAACAAACAAGCATGAATGAGAGTTCCTCTCAGATTGAAAGAAATCCTATTATCTAAGACAAAGCTCATTGGAACATGACTGCAATAGAAAACTCTCCAATAAGGAGAGATATAAACCAATAACTGATGTGACTAAATAGATAACCAAAATGACACCTCCTTCCCTCCTACCAAGCTACTACATCTCAATTTTCTCTTAACATTTCTTGGCGACGAGATCCTCAATCAAGTCAGCTGCATCTTGAACTGTTGCAATAGTCTGTGCATTCTCTTCTTCCACAGTGATTCCAAATGCTTCCTCAAGTCCCATGACAATCTCAACCTGCATGGGAAGGACAATATCAATTACTAAATCAATTAGGAGCAAAACTCACACAATTCAAACAGTTAAAGCTACGTTATTATAGCTTAGAATGTGTATTAGTAGCAGAAAATAAGAACAAAGCTTGGCATCTCCTGCATACTATGGTTATAGCAGCCATTTTATCATATTTTAAGATGTTCAGGTTGATCATTTCTTGAAATTATTTACATACGGCAATAGCTAGTCACAGTTTCTAAATGAAAGCACCCTAATTTATTTTTACATTCCTGCAATACCACATTATCGTTAGAGTTCAAATTATGTTAGGTGAACCCCCACATCGAGACACTTATAATCGTTTCAAGGACCATTTTGACCAACAAAACATTTCAGGACATAGCACTGTAAGAGTTTGTTCTAAATTCAGCATACCGTGTCAAGAGAATCAGCACCAAGTGCTGTAAATTTTGACTCTCCGTTGACAGCAGAATCATTGGGAAGAGCCAGTTGTTTCTTCACAATTTCACACACTTTGTCAACTGTCTCTGGTTTAGCCTGCACATATACAATTCTTACTGTTAACAAATAGCATAGGGTTAAGACTATTCACTGCAGAATCACTGATATCTTACAACAATTAAGCAAAAATAACACTAAACCAGCCCAACTAAACATGCACTACTTGTTCTATAAGGAGAAATGCTAATCTCCCTCACAATAAGGAATATTTGAACAGATTGGATTAGAACTCTGATAAAAGGAAGCAGAAACATACCGCACAGCTAATGCTGAAGCGACGAGTAGCTGGCTTCAATCTGAGGGAAGGGGAGCTTATTCCCTTGATAGAAAGGGAGGATGTCTTCAAATATGCCTGCACAATTCAAAAGGAACAAGCTCAATAGAGATATAACACATCCAATACAGAGGAAAAGTAAAACACATCGATAGAGGATTGTTTAAGCTAACTTATGAGAAATCACTCTCTAATTGAGCCAATAGACATTTCCTTTCCTTTTGTGGTTCACAGACACCTTTACTTCAGCAATTTTCATGACAGTTCTGATTTAACACTAACTTCATCAACTATACATATAACTAATTGAAAAAGACACTTCCAGACACATCAAAGAAAAGAAGTTCACAAAATCACAGCAAATGAAAGTTTTTCCACTTCACGAATCTTCACAACTATAACATAAAATCATAAATAGATCTATCATAAGCAAAATTACAAGGTCCAGACTTTCACAATCATACATAAAACCTGCAAAATCCAATATTTCAAATAAATTCTCATTAAATCTTTAAAAACACACATCACATCACTGCTAAAACAGCTAAATCAAGACATTTCATCACCAAAATAAATTCCAAGATTAAATCGTTAAAAAAACACATAACAGCATTAGCTGAACAACAAGATCCAAAACATTTTAAAATCCATCATTCAGAAACTAGAAAAAAAAAACGAATCTTCTTCACACACAAAGATTTAAACACCAGCACCTCAAAATTAACAGAACTCATCAACACGCATATGATCTATACCATAGTAAACTATAACAGATCAATAAAATCACAAAGATTAAGATTTCAAACACAAAACACAAGATAAACCACCAAAACAGTAGATTTGAGAGTGAAAAACAAAAAAAACGGACCTTGTTCGGGTTGAAGGAGGAGGAAAGGGAAGAGATGGCGAAGGAAGATCCAGTAACAGAAGCCATTGATGGGATCTAAAGAAAATGGATCTGAAAGGAAGTGGCGGACAACACGAAGAGAGCAAATGAGAAGAAAAAAAATGATATAAAAGGGTATAGAAGAGTGGTTCGCTTTTATAGAGTCTTTTTTCATGTTGGGTTTTCAGAAGATCGTTGCTCTTCTGCTTTGGTAGTATCGAAATTTTGGAGTATTGGTTTAACTTGACAAAATATCATTTTAAATTTTATTACTATTATTATTTGGTTAAATTTTTATTATTTTTTGAAAACAAAACAGATATATTTAATATTAGGCTACAATAAGGACTCTTAACTCTTTTATTAATTACAATTTATAGCTATATTATTGTTTGCTATAAGATGTATTTTTCGTTAAAAGTGGCTACGAAATGCAGTGCATTAATTATACAATAATGTTTTTTTAAAACAAAAAAATTAGCAGTGCTTAATTGACATCTCAATCTTCCTAATTTAGTGAGACTTTAAAATCTCATGAGATCGTTTTCATAATAAAAAAGGAACCCCACTATTGAATATTTTCTTATTCATTGATTTTATTGTAACTGAATATTACCTATACGACATTGATACATAAAAATTTTATTTGTTACGAATTTTTTTCTCACTTACATACATTGATATGGCATTGATATAAATATATCTCGATTCTAATGATGGAGATACTATAGAATACTCAAATATATTGATACAAAATGTATAATGTGAACGGATACATTCAACGATGAAACAAAACATATACACTCAACTACATGATTCAATTGTATAACAGAAAACTAATAGACTTTAATACATTAATACAACTTCACAACAAGTTATAGATACGCTCAAATAAATTAATACATAATGAATAACAAGGAAAATATACACTTGATATATTGATACAAATGTATAATATATAGCAGATACAGACAAATATATTTGATACAAAAAGTATAACAAGAAACAAATGCACTTGAATAAACTGATACAAATTTATAATCAGTTATATATACACTCAAATACATTGATACAACATGAATAACAAGGAATATCTACACTATAATTACTTCTCTGAATATATTCTGATGATGAATACATTGTAAAAACACACAAATATATTGGTATAAACGTATAAGAGTGAATAGACACTCAAATATACATGAATACAATCATATACATGTGTGTTTGATTCCTTAAGAATTCCACCAAATCTATCTCAAATTTAAACCAAAATTCCTCAAATTAAAAATATAAACTCGTGATATATCCAATTTTTCAAAAATTGGGACGCTAAACTTTATCTTGTAAATTTTTATCAAAAATAAATAATTTTATAATAAACCCATATATATTTTTTGAGTTTTGAATATAAAACAATAAATATCCTCCACATTTTAGGGTAAGAAAATGCTGCAGACTTTAAAAGATAAAAGTCCAATACATTTTTGGGGAGAATTTGAATTTAAGAAGATTTGGGTAGATAATTTTATATAATAAAGTTGTTTCATAAGAATGTTTTTTTTTTTCTAATAGAGTTATGTATTTAAATTTATGAATTGCAAACTATCCAATTCTAATATAATCTTCATCCGATTTTAATTTGTCAAAAAAAAACTTACGATAAATAAGGACTATTGAATAGATATATATTTGAGCATGAATTTACACATGTATATTTAAATATTTTTTTTAAAAAAATACAACACTACTATATATAATTTAAAAAGAAGAGAATGGATTTACTTGAACCCGGAACCTCCCAATCTCCCCCCCCAAACCCCCTATATATCCCCCTAATAGGATATCAAAAAACTTATCAAAATCTTCATTATAAAATATTTTCTTATAGAATATGTAAATGAAAAAAAAATCTTATCAAAATCGTCATTATAATATATTTTCTCATAAATAAAACATGTAGATGAAAAACAGTAACATATTTTTCGATGATATAAAGTTATACTAACCATAAGAAAGATGTTACTAATAAGAATGTTTGAAAATTTAAAAGCTACTTCCAAGTTCTTGATGATGGTAGGAATGAAAAATAGGTTGTGCCAAGTGTAGTAGATAGGGTTGGGGGGTATGGGCATGGTAGGAGAACTAATTAATAATGTTAATAAAGTTCAGCAGTCAACCAGAATTTCCCCTTTGCTAATATTGGATGTCCTAACCCCATATATACATGCACAGAACTTTCCAAATATACTTTTCAGAACATGGTAAAATCACAACAAGAAAAGAAGAATTGAATAAAGGTACCAACCACTCTCCAACAACCACAACTTGAATATCTAAAGCTACCTTTTGAGTTTTTTTTATATATATATATATATATATATATAGTGGACGTTTGATCATGTTTTATTGTGAAATTTAAGAGAAATAATTTTTGTTTTCAAAGTAAAAAATGATATTGAAAAATTGTTCATGAATACAAATTGGAGTAGTTTTTTTTTTAAAAAAAATAATATTTTGTAAGTAATTTGGAGTAAAATATCTTTTAGTTATTTTTCAAATTCTTGAAATTTCTGGAATTCTGAAATTTTATGGCCAAACATGCTTGAATTCGGAATTCAAATTATTGAAAAAAGTGAAAAAAAATCATGGTCAAGCGCCTCAGAGCTCTTATTTTCAGACTTTTGTGTTAATTTGTAGCGTACATTTCATTTATGACAAACAAAATTAAGCAAATAACGTTACGTAACTATAGTTATCTACTTACGCTTCATTGGTATAGTTTAATTTGCTATGGAGCCTTAGATTTGTATATCTCATTTTCTTGTTTTAAATTTATAAAAATATGTATATTTTTAATAAATGGATACATGGGCGCTAATATACTAACAATTTTATTTGAATAGTTGGTTCAAGAATTTATATGACACCATTTGTATAATACTTTGTCTGACAATGATTTATGCTCAAATGTATATGTTGCATATGTATATATGAATTGTATATGTATCGGTTAAAAGGGTATGATTCTGTTTGACAATTTATTGAATTTATGAACTTGTGTATATAAATGTGTAAAATTTGTATATATTTTAATCTATAATATGTATATATGTAAGTACTTTGGTTAGATTTGAAAATACATTTGAGTAATATTGAATTTGTGATTGATTGTATAAATGTCTTGATTATGAAAGTATTCAGGTATTGTATATGTTTAACTCTGTTAGTATACAAATGTGTTGATTTGTATATATATATTATTTGTGGATATGAATATGTATAAACATATGTTAAATATTATATTGATTTTTTATTAATGATTACAATGTTTGAAATCTCTACAATAATGTCCTTCTTAACTATTTTGGTTATCCATTCTGGAAAATGGGACGACCAAAATTGTTACATCGATTATACAATAGATGAAACAAGTTTTGGGCGATTATCTTGAATTGTGATGTCACGATTATCAAGGAGAAAGTAGATTTTGAAATTCAAAGTAAATGTGTAACGAGTGATTTTAGGAGAGAATTAGAGAACGGAGAGATAAAATCAGATGCCACGATTATGAGGGAGAAAGTAGATTTCGAAATTCAAAATCAACGTGAATGAGTGATTTTAGGAGAGAATTAGAGGATGGAGAGAGGATAGATGAAATTAGATCTGTATAAATGAGTATACAAATAAGGAAATTGCTCTTTTTCTTTTCGTATACAATTTATTCGTGGGTCCCATAATTAATAGCAAATTATATTAAACTATAACCACACACAGTAATTATTTGGAACTATGATCATTTTAAATCATAAACTAGTAATGTTTGTCAGCTCGTGTAATTTTTTCTAATTTGTATACATACATGTAAATAAGATGTCTATGAAAGTTCGTAGGCCATTAACAATATTTAATGAGAATTTTTTATTTTTATGTATGAGAGATCTGAAAAAGACTATTTTCTTCTATTCATTTTGTAAATGACCAAGAAATTTTAATTTTTCACAAGATTTTTATATGATCTCCTATTTGGTTAGAATTTCTTGCATATCCAATTTCATATGTCATAGATCCTTACAAAACTAGCATAAAATATATGATGAATTAATGATAGCATAAATAAAAAATAACATAAAAAATATGATGAATTAATGATAGCATAAACTCGAAGTACTGAATTATTTAGAAGAATGGTACGTAGTGATCTTTTGAAGCAATGCACAGGTTGGGGCCATGCCTAAACCCGTCCATCACAGATGGATTTGAAAAAAAGAAAAGAAAAAAGAGTACGAATGTCAAAGCATATATTTAATTCGTTGAGGTGAACTTGGAAATTAGTTTCTTAATTTTTCAAGATAGAATTTATATATTCAAAAAACTTCGATATGTATTATAAATAACGATATGTGTGATAAATAAAGAGTAAATTTTAGGAATAACAAGCATACAAATCATTTTAGCGCTCTATAACTACAGTTTTGTTATTTGCGCTCCATAACAAACTATAAATCGCAGGCATCTGATTTGTATAAATTGCGGCGTCTGTGTTTAGGAAAATTGTGTTTATATATATATTGGTTAGATAATTATATATATATATATATATATATATATGTAACGACTATGTGTATGTATTAATGATTGTGTTTGTATGTCTGTATAAAATTTGAATTTGTATACAATTGAATCGAGTTGAAACATTTGTATATCAAATCTCTCCCTCGCTTTATAAAAACACAAATTGTACATTGTATTTGTATAATTTGTGTTTATATATATATACACACACATAGAGAGAGAGAGAGAAAAGAGAAGTGGCAGGGGAAGATTTCTATTAGTATAATTATAAGTGTATAGGACGGGAGATATGTATTTGTATATACAGTCTCTCTCACTTTATACACACAAACACAATTTATACATTTGTGTGTTGTACAAAAGTGAGAGAGGCGAGAGAGAGAATTGAGAGTGACGAGCGAGATTCAGGGGAGAGAGGAGAGAATGACAATGTGTATGCTAAATTGAAATTAAATGAAACTATAGCTATAACATTTATTTTGAATTAATAGTTTGCTATAATACAATTTTCCCTAGAAAGAATTCTAATTTTGTTTGAAAAATTGTACTATTAGAAAAGAGATTACTCGATTTTCCAAATAGCCACAAACAAGA